GGCGTGGCGTGGCGTGACGGGGCATGTAACAGGAATGATATGCTCTTTTCGTCTTCTTATTCTCATTCACCTTTAAAAGGACACCCCAGTCTCTAGTGCAAAGGTTGCTCTGTTCGCTACAGGCTACAAGTCCTCCAGGGCCCCATAGAGTGTTGGGTCCCTCTGCCTCAGGATGAGACAATGCAATATGTATTTCTATCTCTAAATGCTTCCAGCAATGGTCAGGCTTGCTGCAGATGGTTCCTTGTTTGGTTGCCGGTAGCGTGCTGACTCTGTTCTGAATGTCCCGTGTTGAACTTCATGTTTCAGTCGGTTGTGCCGTGTTCCCAGTCTGGACAGAACAACCTACTCTTGACGGGTGAGGAGGAAGCAGGGGTCATATCCTGATTGTAGCGTGGGTGTTGTTCCGCCCCCTTTGATTGTAGCCCCCTTTGATGGTGTATGATTGAATGAAAAGTTGGTTAAATAGATACCGGATGCCAGATCTACTGCATATACTTTTGGCAAGAGATTTATGGTGCTCGCAACAGCATAGTACGTCGTATGAGCGGCACAAACACAAACATGCGCACATAGAACTTCAAACATATTACTTCTATGAGCTGGATTAGGCCGTGTAGTCGAGAAAGTTGAACGCACCCAACAAAGAACCAATGAGCGCATAGGTATCCGTGTCAGTGGGGGGAAAGTGTGTCGTAAACTTTCACCCCATTGTCAGGGCTAGGAGAGCGTGAGCCCTCTGTACAGTGTTATTTTTCCCCAGTCTTCTACCTTTTTACAAGAAGAGTTTTATTTAAGGACGGCCCGTGGGAAAGGGCTCATCCGTTACTGAGCCCTAAAGACATTTGATTGGCTGTTAGGTTACTATAGTTGTAAGCGGTGACAACAGTGGTTGGATAAAAGAGCAAGCCGCCAAGTTGACCACTCTGTGTTCATTGCAGGCGGTCATAACGGTTTCAACTGCTTATTTCATTATGGAGAAACTTTCACTTACTTTGGGACAGAGTTAGGGATGGTGGGTGGGGAGGGGGTAGGGGCTCAAGTCCGTGAGCCCTTCACTACCCACCGCCACTGCGTAGGTCCTGTTATTGCCATGCCCCACTTTGTCGAGTCGTGAGGTAGAGAGAAGGGATAGATACATAGATACATAGTGTTATGTTACGACTGACTTGAGTCTTGGAGTAGTAGATCTAGATGATAGTTGATGTTGGTGGGGCCCCACCTGCTGGTCGTCTGCTAGTTCTTCGTTGCCGATGTTACTCCCTTCGGCTTCAGTGAGAGAGTGACCTTCAGACTTCCCGCCGCTTGCACGAATTCACAGTCACGTGATACGTCCCTTAGGCTTACGTCACAATAATTATTAAGGTATGTTATTCACACTACATGTCCTTCTATACTTAAGGTGCGTTTACACCACACATAGATAGATAGATAGATAGATAGTGTGAAAAAAGGCTGCCCTACTTAGGTTTACTTTCTACGAAAACCTGTTGTCATAAAAAATATAAAAAACATAAAAAATATTTGGGAATATTGAAGAATACCGGATCACTCGTACATTATTGCGCGAGAAAGTGGGGTAGGTGGGGCGGGTGGTTGGGGTGGAGGAGGGGGGAGGGGGGGTTCAGGGGGGTCTCCCCCCTGACAAAATCTTAATGAATAGATCTACCGGTCCAAGATTCTCCATTGAGAGATATTAAAAACGCGGAAATCATGAATTCCTAAGGTTGAGACATAGGCAAAGCCAGTCCACTTGTCCGGTATTCTTCAATCTTACCAAATATTTGCCTACTGTAAAAATTGTAACTTCAAACAACAATGACTAAAAAAATATGATTTCTCTCGTCAGCAATGAACGTTCCGTTTTACAGGTACATAACTCGCCATCAACTTTAAATGTGCAACGTAAATACATGAGTAGGCTCCCTTCGTCAAGTTTCTTTTTTTTTTATCACTTCTTTTGACAATTTTTGGGGGTGATAACAATTTTACTGATCCTACGTTAATTTTAATTATGGAAATTGAAAATAAAATATTTGTAATAAGAGAGATAATTTTACTTTTACTTCGATTTTTAGTTAGATTCTACGCTAAATAAAAAGGCCACCAACGCAGACCCAAATTTATGGCTGAGGGAAGCTGGGTTTGCCAGAACGGCGTTTGTATATTTTTTACAACAATCAATATTATTACCGTATTCGAAGAGCGATTTTTGCAATTTTGAAGCCCTCCATACTTTATTTTGCTTATCAAATATTAAACTTGTATTTAAAATAATTATTATTCTTGTTAATGCATGAAATCAAACATTTGTGTGTGTATGTTGAATATATTGTTAAGATTGTTGAAAAACAACAGGCTCATGTTGGGGAACTCGCTCCGCCATTTTGTCTATACGAGGCAATCAAAACAACGATCCATGCAAAATAGAATCTAACCCACTGCAGCAAAATGTGAATACCTTGAGGTGTTTTGTCCATTTTCTGCCTGACGGGAGTTACTTGTCGTTGGTTTCTGTTGCAATTATCATTAATTAGAAAGATTTCATCTAAATATAAATCAGCTGTCATGGGAAGGTCCAGGAGCAGGAGCAGGTCGTCCAGTCGACAAAGACATCGGTCGAAGCGCAAGAAAAACCGTTCGAAATCACGTTCTGCGTCCAAAGATCGTTCTTCCAGGCAGCGAAGCAGTCGGATGAGGTCTAGATCAAGAGACCGTAAGAGGTCTGCAAGGTGAGCATGTTTTGTATTTGTAGGACAATGGATATATAACGTGGCTTTTTTCCGCGTGAAGCTAGGCAACAGACAGCAACGAGCACCCAGCACACATCTCTTCTGTGATTAGCCCTGATGATGTTTTTCCACCATCTATTTTTGTCATCTTCCGGGGCTATATCTCACTGTTACGGGTCCGCTTTGCTGCTCAGCGGGCGATGGACTACGTCACTAGGTTTCATCGCCGACTGCTTGGGCTGTAGGCCTGCATGTGGCGGTAAACAGACAGGGTCTCTGAGCTTCTAGATCTAGTCTAGATCTAGATCTAGATTATAGAGATCTAGATCTAGAAGATCTAGATCTAGATCTAGATATAATCTAGATCTAGATCTAGTCTGAGAGGCCCATTTTTTGGAATTTTCATATTTAATCTACATATGAGTATCATACATCATTTTAAAACTTAAAATGTGGGGATTCTGATTCCGTAAAAATTTTGAGCAGGAGGCGATTATGTAATACCAAAAAAGTAGGACGAGTTGCGCTGGCCTACATATGA